CCATCCCTGGAAGTGTTCAAGGCAAGGTTGAATGGGGCTTTTGAGCAACCTGGTCTAGTGGAAAGTGTCCCTGCCCATGGCAGGGGGTTGGAACTAGATGATTTTTAAGGTCCCTTCCAACTCAGATCATTCTATGGTTCTATTAGTTCTGAGCTGAAAAGAGGCACTGGGTATCCAGAAGCTATGCTGCTGGCAGCCATCAGAACACAGTGCAGCAGCAGACCAATGGATTTGGCTCAGCCTGTGAGAGCAAAGATGTGTGGGGATTTCTTGGGACAAACCAAACAAAAGCATCCATAAAAATCAGGACGTATAGCAGGAGGGTGAAGCACCATTTTAGTATGGCATGACAAATGTGGCATTCAGCCAGGATCCTAGACCACCTGACTTTGTGAGTGCAAAAAAAAGCAAAGCCCAGCCTACTGAGAAAAGCAGCATTCATAAAAATTAAATTCTGACATTCACTAATCCCATATTAGCTTATATAAATATTAATACTACTTCAGCATGAAAATATCCAGTCTCTATCCAAATCTAGGTGCAGATGTGACAGTTCAGAGACAACTTCCAGAGGAAGAGTAATTGCTGCTTTGGAAAGGTGTACTGACCTATATGCACTATTTCTAAACCCACTAGTGCATCCTGCCTTATATACTACAGCAAATACTGTTTCAGGGGTGTCATGGGTCTGCCTCTGTTGTAATGGTGACAGCAAGAGACTAAGCAAGGTGTAACTGGATTTTCCAGACACATGAACATAAGTTTAGTATAAATTAATTAATAACAATGTGCACAAGAGTGAAATTTGATCTGTTGGCATGTTAAAGTATCTCAAGTAATCTACATAAGACTGAAGAGAAGCTTACTGGGTTTGTTCAAAATATGTTAACACTAGACAAAATAATGCAATGGTTTGAATTAAAATTCGTTTTTTTCTTCAGAACACAGAAACATAATAAATCAATGCAATAAATTACCCCTGTGCTGTGAAATTAACACCCATATACATGAAATAAAAGTAAGAATTTACAGCTCTAATCAATCAATTTTTTTATTAACTCCATCTTCTGTTTTATTTACCTTTTTCCACATGCCTCTCACCACGAAATAACTCACTTGGCTCTGGCCCACTGTGGCACTCTTGGCAGCTGGCCAGCCCAGATGCTCTGCCAGCAGCTCTGCCTTCTTCCTCCTCAGCCCCATCTCACACTGCCCACAAAGCAGCACAGCCCTGTGACACTGTGTTCTGTCAAAGCAACCTTAAGCCCTACCAGGCATAAAAGGTAAGTTAAGAGGGAAACCCCTGGCTCTCCCATCAGCCACATCAGGGTTTGGGCTGACACTCAGCTTTGAAGATGCTGAGCTCCAGGAATGCCTCCACTGCTGTCTTGTGTACACAGAGCTGGGAAACAAAAGCACAGAGGAATGCCTTTCTCAGTAGTCATGTAACCCCTAGAGTTATCTCAACCATTTGAAAAACATATTTCTTACCCCTCTCACAAAACTGTGCTTTGCAATATATTCCTCTTGCCCACTATAAAGAAAAATCCCAGTTTGCTCTTGGACCTGCTACACTTAGGCAGCAGTCTCCACCAGTCTGCAGAACAAGGCTGCCTTGCTCTCCAGCATGAATGATTTATGGTTTCACACGTACTCATGTGCTACATTATTCAGTTAATACTTGTACCTATGAATACCAGCTCATGAGATAAAAGTGCAGACCGAGGCGCAAACTGATGCTTGGCTGTATTTTAGAAAAAATATCAAGGTGAGAAAAAAAGGCCTTCATGGGAGGTTGCCCACACCGCCTTTCCATATAAAGCCAGTGGCACACGGGAGGGTGGCTCATGTTCCAGTCCTCCTCCTCAGAGCACTCATATAAACCCTAAGCCCGATGAGGAGATCCCTTGCCACCCATTTGTACTGCTGAAGCACTCAGCCCCCAGTGAGAGCATGAGCTGCCCAGGGTGACTTTGGTGCCTAAGTCTTTTAGCAGCCTAGTGGCTGCTTTAGGTGCCTAGTGGCTTTTTAGCAGCCTTTCACTCCTGCACAAGCAACTCTTCCTCTCTCTCAAACGCATGGAGGAAATTGCAGGTAATAATTGTGACAGGTCTGAAGACTGCCTTCAAACAGATCCAAATGCACATGATACATTTGCAGTTTGACTACCTAGAATAGCCACCGTGAGCTGTGCCAGTCTATAAAAATGTAGGAAGTGGCAAGTTGTCTACTAAAAAGTTTCTTCTACCTACATACATGGCATACAAGGAGTATTGTTGCTTCTGCGATCCAGGTAATCAATCAAGAGTGTAAGATTTGGCTGCAATTATGATCCTGTATCAGAACAGAAAACAAAACCTGGACTCCCTATGTTACCGCCTGGTGCCTCGATCAGATGGCAACACATGCAGTGGTACATGTGCCTCCAGAAACCTGCCTGACCTGCATGACCTATAAGGCAGCTTCCAAAGGAAGGCAAACACAGTCACTGCTGAGCTCCAAAGACAACTGAGAACATCCCTACGCTCCAGCAAACTCCCTGTCTCTAGTCAAGAACGACTTCTGCCGCTTCCCACCAGAGGATGTAAAAAATGCAGGATTTCGCCTTCATGTTGCCTCTCAGCAATGGATTACTCGCAGGAGTGAGATGTCATTTTGCTGGCAGTGTTTAAACTTCCCGAGCGACAAAGAAAATAGAAGATCCCCTTTCTCGAATGACTGTTCTCCCCCGACAGCAGGAGCATGCTCGTTCAGCCTACGTACACAGCAATTGCAGCATATTTGGGTTCATGTTAAACCTTTTCATCTTAATTATACAGCGTGCTGTCGCATTTAGGGCTGCTGTGCAAAGCTCTATATGAGTTACTGCTGTGCTGATTCCCAGCAAGCGTACGGGTCTGGCATACTATGAACCTCTCCCATGTGTGCAGAAGTCTCCTGTACAAAACAACTGGAGCGGAAATTATTGTCTTAGAAAAACTAGTGCAACTGCAGGGAGATGGCTGAAAGGAGCCTGGCCAGAGACCCCCAGGGGCACTTTCTAGGAAAATCCATTATGCTTTTTCCTTTGGACATCTACATCCCATCAGGAGAAAGCCTCCTAATGTCAAGGCCTGGCACTTCTCTTTGGGACAAGGCATCTCTGTGCACATACACTCTGTCAGGCTCATTTTCAAAGGCAAAACCACACTCAAATAGGCCACCTTGCTCAATTCTCATCGTGCTGTGTTTGGCACCAAATTGGATAGAAGGGAATGGTTTATCCCTTCCATGACAAATCACAGTCAGCCACCAGCCAGGATGCTCACCTAGCACAAGGGGGGCCCTTCAGGAGTTACCTAAGCAGCAAAGTTCCTCATCCTGAAGCTTATTAGTTGTCAGACAGCAATTTCCACGGTGTAAATGAAGATTAACCATCTTCAGTGTTAACTGTGAGAATGAAGATCTCATTGTTACGGAAAAGTATCCCTGCTGCTCTCCAGAGGGACAAAGGGCCAATCCACAGGGTGTGCCACCAGGCTAGGATGCTGCAGGGCTGCAGCGTGCCCAGCTCCGGTCCTTGTCACGGGCTCACCCTGACTGCCATGCAGAAAAGCAGAGCTGTGCTGAGCAGATTGCTCTGTGGGAGGAGCCGATGGAAGGGAAGCACAAGCATTAAACACTGTGAGTCTTAACTATGCTACTTTGCCCAGATGGGATTTATGGGGTGGGGAGGGGGAGAAGGGGTGCAGATGGAAGAGCATCTTCGGCCATTCCAAGTGTTAAAAATAAGTGAGATGTCTGCCTTAGGGCTCGGCAGATTGAACATAGTGATTATATGTGCTCCATAATTCTTCACCTGGGCTCATGCCTGAGAAGATCCTGACCCCTTCTTATGCCACACACTGCAATAGGATTGCCCAGCCAAATGTTGAAAAGCTATTTAGTGAACATCATTTCCCTACATGAAATTAAAAATGTTCCCTCTCAGATCTATTCCTTCTGGTTTTCTAGCTGCTTAGAAATTTGCAGCAGATATAAATAAACTTAAAAAAAAATAAAATCAAAACCCCAGATCAAAACTAGGAGCATGACAACCAGTTGGAGCACTGTGTGAATCATCTGAACTACTTTCATAAAGATCAGCATATTGCTGTGAAAGACCCTCTTGAGTCTCTAGCTCTAGCTGCTGGAGGGTCCCCACCAGCCCAGTAAGTGAGGAACAGCTGGGTACATGCTGGAGTGAGAAACACTTGCTGCCAGGCCCAGGTAGGCACCCAACAGAGCACCCACAACCTCAGGTTACATCTCCTGAGGCAATTTCTTTACCAGCCTTGTTCAACAAACGCACCAAGGGCACAGATGTGCAGAGCTGGTGTGCACAGGCGTGATGCTCCACTGCCAGGCAACAACAGTACTTTAACTTAAAACAATCACCATATCTGCAACACTGCACCCACAGGCTACATCCCCAGCTGTTAAAAATCAATGGAAACACACAGATTTTTTTTTTTTAAAGGCCAGAGGGACTTCTGGGTCATCTAAACTGTCTTTTTGTATAAAACAAGCTGTAGAATTACATTCAGCTACTGTAATGAGGAGCTTAATTGCATGTGTTGGACAACTATCATGTCACTCACTTCAACAGTGCTACACCAGCTTATAAAGGAAGAAACACTGCTCTGTAACCTGCAGCATCTTGGATCTGCTTCTTAGCATTACTCTGCAGACTCAGTGTAGAAAAGTCTCATCCCTACAGATGCAGGGAAGAGGCAACAGCCAGTGACCCATGGAAGAGCGATCGCAGCAGCAGCACATCTGCAGCACATCACCTGCCAGTGCTTTCGTGTACCAATGCAAAAGAGAATGCTTTACACACATACAAGATGCTTTAGTCACATACGCAAACAGAAAACAGGGGTTTGGAAAGCAATGCAACACCAGTGGATTCTGAAGGGGAGCAAGGTGATAAATATGTAAATTGCATTCTCCACCACCCTGAGGCTGGAGGATTTTGTTACCTGTTTTGGGATTGATCACAAAGAAGTTCTGGGGATTTCCACTTGTAATCCGGTAAGTCAGTTTTTCATTAGTGCTGGAGTCAGGGTCCTGGGCTTGGATCTGAATGACAGATACATCCTTTGGGGAGTTTTCCATGACGACTGGGTAATAGATAGGCTCAGAGGTGAGAGGGGCATTGTCATTCACATCCTCCACTTCAATGTAGACTTCAATGGTAGTGTAGAGTGGGACAACACCATGATCAGTTGCATACACTGTCAACCAGTAGGATTTGGTTGTCTCCCGGTCAAGAATATCTGCTGTGTAGATAACTCCTGTGGAAAAACAGCAAGCAGAGGATGTCAGGAACAGAATCAATGAATGTTCAGCATATAAAAAAAGCTCCACCCTTATAAAAATTCAAGTTGTGGAAAAAATAAAAACAGAAATGAGCTCAGGAACTGTTTTGTGAACCCAGCTCAAGTATTTTGTCCCCAGAAATGGAGGGAGGAAAGGTAAAAAGATGGCTCTTCATAAATGTCCTAATGCCAATTCCTTGCTAGAACTGCAGCTGGCAGAGTAACAGAAGAAACACCATAATTTTCTGCTTGTGATGCAAACTTGTATAAACCTTGGTAGGGAGAGATACAACTATTGACAATGAATTGCACAAAAAAAGTGGCTTTTCTTTTCAAGCTCCTGTCTATGCCATTGCAAAACAAGAAAACCTAGGTGGCAGTTTAAAATAAATCCATTCAAGTTCAGAAAATAGATGGTAAATTTAATAATGAGATTGCTCATTGCACAATGCCAAAATCCTGGATAACAAGCAACCAAAAGCTCACATGGTAGCCCTTAAACCTTGGCCCTTAGACAAAGAGCATATCCTCTTTTATCACAGGGGAAGGAAGAGTGTGGCCACTTTACCTATTGGTGTAAGAAAATATTACATATACATGTTGCATATATATGTTACATATATATACACATACACATATATACGTTACATGTATATGTTTGTATTACATATACAATTATATCAGCTGGTTTCCTACCTGGTCCTAAGAAACCACAAAAGAAAGTGTGCTTTGTATAACAGAGCCACAGAGAGGGGTCCAAGTACCACCCCTGTGCCTGCACAGTTCCTGCCATGAAGGACTTCTACCTACCTCATTTCTGCCTGATACAGAAATCCATCCTCCTCCTGACATGAACACCTGGTTTGTGTCTGGTTGGAACCAGATGGCCTTTCAGGTCCCTTCCAACCCAAACCATTCTGATTCTATGATAAACCAGAAACTCCTCCTGCCACTATAAGACCTGCTTGTATTGGTGTAGTTCAAACCTTCACTGGCTTAAGAACTGAACATGAATGCACAGAGGACCGAATACACCAGCACCACACAATCACACCAGCACAAAACAAGGAAATGCACTTTCCCACCACTTCTGTGACACATATATCAAGAACATTTTCCTCTCCTAATACAGCATTATTAAATCTTGAAAGACACAGTAATGCAGTGGATGTCAAGCTTGAGAAATACTCAAAAGGACAGTCTGCAGATCATCAAGTCATGTCAACAGTAGGTGGAAAACGACAGAGAAATTGCAGAGTAAAACAGGAAAACGAAATCTGAATTTAGTCTCAGATGTGTTTGATGCTATTCAGAACAAAACTGTCAGTTAATTATTAAGGACAGAGATGCTCTAAGGTCAGCACTAATAAGGGACTTGCATGTCTTTTTGGATTTGGGGTTTTTTTTAAGGATCAGATGGCACTATTTCCATAACAGCTTGAAGTGTTAGAAAAGTTTTAAAGGCAGCACAGAACTCACCACACAGCTACAGAGATGTCTCATGTAATTGCCCTTGTCTCACAGGATATATTTTTTTAAAATTTTAAAACTTTTCAAGTTTTGGATTTTTTTATTATGTCTTTTAATACTACTTTGATCAGCCATGTAAGAGAGGAAGGGGAAAGGAACAGTACTGATCCCGGTCATGTATGGGCTTAGGTCTTTTTTTTAGTAACCTCAGATTCATGTCTTTCTGTCTCAGATGTATTATTCACCCAACGAAGGTGAGCAGTGCAGCACTGGAGGACAAAAGCAGAGTGTATTCTAAATATTCTTGTCGGCAGCAGCCTGTGCTATGTAATGAGTTTCTGTAGAAACATGGGTGAAATATGTAGTGAACTGTGATGAAAAGGCCTAGAAGTCCAGAAGAGAAATTATATAGCAGAGATGATAAGAGCCCATAACAAATGACACCCCATGGAAACAAATAAATAAAATAAAATCTGCATGGTCAAGAACAAGGCAAAAAGGATGAACAGCAGTGATCTTAGAAATGATGATTTATTCACAAGACAAGATGAATGATTTTAGATCTTTAAACAAAATTTGAAATAAGTAGGGTCTTCCCTCAGTGAGAGCACAGAAGGTTTTAGCAGATTAAACTATATTTATGAAGCTGAATTTCACTGATACTGAGATGATAATAAATCTATCTTCTGAGTCATCCCTTCATTTTATAACTCCTGGCAACAGTTACTTTTCATTTCTGTACTTCAGAAGGAAAAGATCATTGAATAAGCATTAGCAACCACCAACAGGTCTGCTACACTGGTTCTTCTTTTTACTTTAGATTTATTAAAAGGTCCCAGATATAAAGTAATTCCTTTTCCTCAATAAGTCTTGTCATTTCACCTGTCAACACCACACAGAAGCCTGATAAATAACAATGCTTTTGTTCCCTTTCAGGTTTTCCACATGGAAACCTTTCCATCACCCTGGGAACACTTTCCACCACGCTCTTGAATGTTCTGCACAAAATGCCTCCTTGCTGTATACCCATATATGGGTATAAAGCTAGTACCCACAAGAATACACATGCTGCCCAAATATTTAACCAATCTCTCCACGTAAGTATGGCTGACACTTTCCAGATGGATGTCAAATGTCATCTTCATATGAGGTGTTAACTCCTAAGACTAATTATGACGCTTGATCATCAGCACTGCTTCTTCACTGCTATAGCATGAATGGGAACAGGCTGATAGAGTCAGCATCAGGAGCTGAAAAAAATTCCCTGAGAATCCACAGGTAGTTCTCACTCACTTTAGCTGAATGCAAGTATGGGAAAGGGTGGAAATACCCTTTGGGATAAGATGGGATAGGATCACAATAATTTCAGATAAGATCACAATAAATTCAGAAAACACATCACTTACTTCAAAGCTTATAAATATTAACAGATACTACAGAAAGACAAAATTTTGTTTTCAGGATCAGGAGAGCAGAGGGGAGAAGGGGCCTTTGGGAGCAGCTCTAAGGTTTTTTTTGGACAGCTTTTGTGGTGCACTCTTTCCAGCTTCCTGCTAATTAGAAGAGAAACATGAACAAAATAATGACACCTGAGCTAAACAAATCAAGAAGTAAGAAGAAACACCAGCAGAAATCCTGAAAATTCCAAAGTGGCTAAAGACTAAAAAGTTCCAAGATTTTGCAGACACAGTTCTGAACAAGACAGAAAAAACAGGTGTTCCCATCCACTGAGATGCTACACCACAGAGGCACTACTGCATTTCTACATTAGACAGCTGAAAAACAACCAAGCCAGCTCTTAACGTTGCCCTTGGTCAGATTTTGCAGAGTCTCTGAAGGTCTGGAGCCAGCACTACCTCAGGCCCAGGGCAGCCTCAGAAAAGAAGCTAGCCATCAATCCAAAAAGTGATGCCACCAATATGCCTCTCATTGCATTCCTTCAAGTGCACATGCCCTATGCAATTCAGCAGACACCACATGCATTGCAAACACTGTAAGTGAAAAATAACAACAGAGTGCATTAGTTGCTGATTAAAATCCTGGGCACATTTATATGTAAATTAAGTTCAGCCCTTGGGCTCGGCAATGTGCCAGCAATGTGAAGGTTGTGTGCTTGTTTCTCTCTAAGGCTTGTTTTCCCTCTTTCCCTGAGAAAATAATGGGATAATTTTTTCCTTATGGCTCCTGCAATTGGACACAACAAAACACTACATTATTAAGGATGAAGGAAAAAAAATAAATGGGGGGCAAGAAACTAGTGGCTCTTAAAGTGAACAAAGAATCTGCAAACTGGATTTCCCTCTTTCCTCTCCCACTGATTTGCTGCACATCTGTCAGCAGACCACTTCAAATGACATGGTCCACTCAAAAATTATCTGAAAATTATGTATTTACTATAGTGATGAGAAACCTGAGAGGCTCTTAAAACAAAAAAGGATTAGAGAAAAGCATTATTTCTTTCATCACCTCTTTTTTGTCCCCTGTTTGTTTACTTTACACATTTGACAGTACTGTGTATATAGGTAGTGTGATGGATGGACCTGCCACAGCTCTTTAAGAGAATGTTTACTGGAGCTGTCAACCCGGGTGTTTACATAGGTGCCAATCGCCATGGATATCTGCTACACACATATGTTCCTCCTAAAAGTCAGATCATCCTTCATTAATACCTTCAATAGCACAACCATTGAAAGGGGTTCAATTCTGTTTAGTTTTTTCAAGGCAAGATTAAAAGACAACTTGGTGGTCTGTAAGAAGCTGTGCATGGAAAAGTCAAAAGAGAGTTACAAAGCTCTTTAATCTAGCTGAGAAAAGCAAACCGAGGTCTGATGGCAGGAAGTCAATGGCAGAAAAAGGAGAGTGCAAATACTCAACACAGAGGATATCTGGCAGGAGCAACTGCTTGTCAGGGACAAGCCAGAATCTCCCATTATTTGGCACCTTGGTTCTGGGACATTACAATATAACCTATTCTTCTACCCAAGTTATTGGCTTAGCTGCAAAAAATAATGTAGCACGCCATTTTGCTGAGTGACAGCAGCCCGTGTGATAAAAGTTGCCAATGTAAGTAGTCATACTCTCAGCAAACGATGAACAAGATTTGGGGAAAGAGGACTGACTAGGAAGTATCTGCTACTCTTTCAAAAACTTCTATCACGCAGAAATACTACAGAAAAACCTTTAGTTATCTCTTTTTCAAAATACTGCAGTGGTTTCACAGGGCTACATTTTGCTTAATACCATCAACTCAGCTGACAATTGGGAACAGCCTCAATGATACTGCTTGTTCTTCTCAACCTTTTTCAGGAGTATGAGCTAATTGCACAAACATGCATCTTGGACTGGGAAATCACAAAAGGTTAGATAAAGTAAATGGCCTACTTATTCCCAGAGCCTGACCCAAGAGTGGCCATAGAGGAGAGGCAGTAAAGGCAGAACATGCCCTCAGCAGGAGCTACAGTGTGGGATGGAGGTGATGCTCCAGTAACACATTCCCAGATATTTCC